CCGTTTGAATTTTTTCTCTAAACTCCTTGTGCTCCAAGTAGCCTGCAGAGCCCACCTTCTGCGTTATCTCGCATTTGTGATTAGATACCTCTTCTGTCCAGTCTGCGGAACGACTAAATAAACCTGCCAAACTAGCAGACCTCTGCTTCTTGATCGAGACTTTTTCTTTTTTGTGGAAGGACTCCTGCCTCCTTGTAAAAAGTGGGCTCTGGGATGGGGAGGGAGAAGGTGAATGGTTGGGAGAACTCAGTTGCCTAGTTGTGGTTTTGATGTAACAGGGATTAATTAGATAGGGCTTAAAGCATCGGGAACCAAGCATCGGACTGTCTGCCGTCCCCTCGGAGGACAAAATGCCATTTTTCATTTCCGTGGATAAACCATTATGCAGGTACTCTTGACTGGCTGACAGAGTGTGTTTCCCTTCCTGAGTCTCAGCAGCACGATCAGGGCCTGCATCTGAAATACCATCCTCTGTTACTGAGCCCTGCAAATCAACAGCCTGCACTTCAGCAATTTTAGTCTCAGCATCTGCTACTGAGGTTGGAAAAGGTTGTGTGGAGCTGTGTGTCTGAGACCTGTTTTCTACTGCAGTTCTATTTAAATCATCTTCTAGTTCACTAGCTACAGCATCCACTCCAGCAATCAGCTGCTCCTGTTCCTCAATCAATAGCTTATGTTCCCGTGTTTCAAATAAGCCGTTACCAGGAGAGCCTGTGCCATTTACCGCTTCTTTCAGTTCACGTTCAGTTGCACAGGAGATGGGAATGTTTTCTGCAATTTCAGATAGCGCTGGAAAAGCCCCCTCAGTGTCTGGGCTCCTCTCTTTGTCAGTGGTGGTTACTGAAAGAAACCGTTCAAAATCTAAGGGGGTCGCTTGTGAATTAGCCATGTGTTGGCCCATTGTTTTGGTGACAAGGTCTTCAGTTCCCATGTTAATTGCCCCCTGCTGCTGCTGCTGCAGTCTAATAGCTTGCTGGATATCAGAAAGCAAATCCTCTTGTTCTGTGGCTGAATGGAAACTGTATATATCCGTATCGGATCCAGAGCTGGTCCTTTGTCCATCCTGTGTCTCTGCAGCAGCTGGGACAGTTTCATTTCTGATTTCAAAATGTTCAACATCTGTGTCTGAGAGACCCCCTTCATCCGCAGAGATGCTTATATCTGGAGTTTTGGTAACAATTGAATGAGTGCTGTCCAGCTCTCCAGCCTGCAAGGCCTGGCTTTCCAAAACATCCTCCCGTGAACTACTGTTCCCATCTTTAGCCTTGGACAGATTTTTTCTGATCCTCAGATTTGAAAACACTGAGGCCCTCGAGTCCGACTTGCCCTTCTTCTTACCGGATTCACTTCCTTTTGCATGCTTCCCCAGTCCCCTTCTGCTCCCCGATACCTTCTTTGTGCCATCTGTATCCTTGGGCCCAGAGGCATCCTCTCCTCCTTCATGCACATCCCCTGTATTTTTCTTCAGCTTCCCATCTTGATTCCCCATGGTTTTTTGCAGCGCACCACCTTCGGTAATCAAGCCATGCTCCCCGATTTCATTCCTTTGGCCTGTCGGTGAGATCCCCTCTAGCGATTCACGTTTGTTTTCAAGCGGTGGTAAAGCAAATGCTTGCTGTGCCTCTCTCCCATCTGCTAGAGCTGCCTTTTTGCATAATGTGCTGCCTGCACTGGGCTCCGCCGGGACATGCTCAGTACAGCACTGAGAGCTGCAGACAGCTCCTTCCAATGGCTGCTGCTCCTGCCTTCTGCTGCACTCTTGGTGCTTTAGGAAGGATTCTGTGAAAAGTATTTCCTTTATAAAAGTCACTTCTTTTTCCACGGTTTTTATTGCCTGCATTGCAAGCTCAGCTTGTCACCGAATCATTTATAATTTCAGGATCTCAATGTTCAAGTTCCTGGAGGGAAAAAAGAAAACCAGAAAGCTCAAGCAAGGTACTTTAATTACTCTGCAATTGTTCTGGAATTGTTTAAATGAATAAACTCGTAACCTTGGAAAGAGAAATATTATGATTATTTAATACTTTATAAGGTGCTCAAGCATATGCTGCTTTGACAGATTACACAGTACCTGTGGTGATTTACATGCTTACTTTTTAAAGGCCACCAAAACATGATACATCAATACATAGTTTTAAAAGGAGAGTCACTCTGAAAGTAGATAAAAGAAAGATAATAAACAAAAAGCTCTTTCCACAGTTTTGAAGAGTTGCTTTTAAAATTCAATGCATTATAGTAATTACACTATAAAAAACCTCCCACAATTTGTATTCTGAGAAGGTAGATATACTATTATTCCCAGGAGAATCAACTCATCAATATTAAAACACACCACCATTGTTTTCCCTGATAAGAACATCTGGCATGAAATAAGATAAAACAAACAGAAAAAAAGCAGTATTCAAATGCTACTAAGGAAAGGATACAGTAAATCACTCCTGTATTTCACTCTGTATACTTAATAATTGATTTAGACACTGTCACTTGCTAACTATTTTGGAAGCTTGTGCAACAGTTTTAATCAGTTGCTTCTGCTCCATTTTTTGTTTGAATGTATAAGCATCAATACTTCATAAATACGTTTCCTGAACTTCCAGACAGGTACTTCCTTCCACTTTTACAATTTAGATTGAAAATAACTGGAATAGAAACAAAAGGGCATAAGAATGCCAAATTGCCAAGTTGGATCAGTTCAGCAGTTCAATATCTTGGTTCAACACCAGCCAAGAAGCAATTAGATAGATTTCTGTTTATGATGTATCATCTCTAAACTCCCTGGTCTATTAGGTTCAGTTTCTGTGAAAGACTTTACGTATTTCTAACACCTCTGAGCTTCTTTACTAGCAACTTCCCTTTCATTGGAGATTGCTTAAGACAATACATCATTCCAGGGAAATATATCCTATTGCTTTACCTAACTCTTACTTTTGGTATAATTTTCTTCCTACCAGAGGTTTCACTTGCTTTCCTCTGCCTTAATACACATTAAAGAAGACGACGACGAGTATCATTCACACTTTAAAAACTATGCAGGCACCCCCTCCCCCCTCATTTTTTTAAGGGATGTTAAATACCTTTATAAAATCTGTAATCATTGTTAAATAATTGATAATTCAGTTTGGAAAGAATAGCACTGTCAATAATACACGCAAGTAAATTATTTTGAACTACCATAATTTTTTCCTTGTGCTTCTTGGTCACTTACTGCTCTGATGTAAGTCCTGTCCCGAGGGGCCTGTGGCTCAGGCACCAGAAGCCTTCTGTCTACAAGAACTGAGGTGTTTTAAGTGGATAAGATGACTTTGTACACTCAGTGATGTTTTTCTAAAGTTTTCACTTATCTGAGGGAGCGATTCCTTTTTTTTTTTTTTTCATTTTTATCACTCAGCATTCATGAATATACTAGCAAGAGCTAGTATAGCAAAACTTGCAAAAGCATGTTAAGTGATTTTGCTTTCTGAAAAAAAATTTGCTTTCTGTTATCCTACTTAGTTTCTAATTTGCTGCAGTATTTTACCTTTTATGGCATTATTACATACTTGTGAAGGCTTTTGGAACCTCAGGTAATTTCCGTCCATCTGAAGATACACAGCAAGAATTATTTAAGGCACAGTTTGAGGGAACTTTAGCAGTAGAATACTACCTTGATGCGTATTTTCACTGACTAGAACTGACAAAGATCTAACCCTTGATTACAACTGGAGTACTTGTAGCTTCCAACTCCGTTTAAAAGCTCTTCTCTCACTAAAATCTGCCAGAAGTTAACACTGTGTGGAATATAAAGATACTTCAAACTGAATGTGTAAGGGAAATGTAGAAATAGTGTGATGTTCTGAAACATTCCCTTTCCTTCCTTCTATGTAAACTTGCATTACAAACTCAACACACTCCCATTACAAATAATGATAATTCACCAACAGTAATTACACTGCAAATCATGCTGCAAAACCAAGCCATGAACAAAGCTGGGGTTATAAGACAGTCAAATTAAAGATTGATCTTCATTTTTTAATTAGAAACTTATAATGGTTTAAATCATGCATCTGCTCTATTTCCTGGAAGTTTTCATACAGCACATCCTGATGAGTAAGTTCTTCAAAACAAACACATAAATGTATAGCCATAGATACTACCTGAGTTTACATATATTCCACTAAAAATTAGTCAATTTTTTCAATCTGTGGCTGTAACCTTAAAAGCAAAAGAACTACAAGAAAAAAAAGCCAAACCACTTTCTAGATAGTCCCTCTGAATATGGTATTCATCATGGATTCTGACCAGGATTTCTGATCTATATGGGGAAAGAGCACCACAAAAATGGGCATAGCTATGTGAACAGAGGTATGCATGTGAACATCAAAGAATTTGCTCTGGTTATTCCACAAAAGGCACAGAAAATACTTTAAAAAAAAGAAAAAAAAAGGAGCATGAGGGCAAAACACAAATTACCCCAAAGTGTCAGTGATAGACACAGCTCTCAATCAGCATTTGCAGGAAAGTACAAAAGGTTAACGTTAGCCAAACATAACAACAAATGTTAATACTTTAGGGTTTGTTTATTCTCAGAAGTCTTTTAGCTTCTGAAGAAAAACATGTTATTAAAAGTCAGCAAGAAATCAGAACACTTTAGCATCAGTATAAGCTACATTTTGAAAGCTAAGATATTCCACACCAAAAAAGAGACTTTCAACAGAAAGTGAAAGGGGAAAGGAGGGGGTGTAGGTGCTCAAGAAGGATATTTCATTTTTAAGAATGAAATTCTTAAAATTCTTTTCATTCTTAGCTTGCTATAAATTGTCAACAAACAACTGAGGCTGGTCCATGAACCTGCCTGCCTGCCTACCTCATGGTCAGTCAAAAATACCGAAGGGATTGCAGGCATAGGCCTGAGATCTCCTTCACCTCTCCTTCTCCTCCGAAGCTCAGGAGACATAAATGGCAACACGCAGAGGAGAGTGGAAACTTACAGCTCAAGATGCATTGTCCTTGCACTCCCAGAGACTTCCACATTAACACATTCCTGTTATGAGACTGTGATTATTTTCAAGAAGACAGTTACCATTTACTGCAGCCTCTCTGGAAAGGTGGCCAGATCCCCCCAGCACTGCCTGCCTGCCCACCTGCCCTGCTGGGAGGGGAAGGGCTGCCGGCAGCACCGATTGCCCACACCTGGGTGCAGGTCTTGACCTCCTGGAGCACAGCCAAGGCAGAGTACTGCCCCCAAGTCAGGGCTGGGACCATGGTGGGAATCGTCCCCCCAAATTCCCGGAAAAAGGGCTGGCCAACCTGGTATTTTGGGCCTGTTGCAAACACATGCTGCCTGGGGGAAGAGAGGGATGGCTAGGGGAGTCTGCCCTGAGAAGACACAGCTTTCCTGGGCTGGATGAGTTTTCACCATGATTTTTTTACTCTGATATTTCATTCTGCTCTTAATGGTAGTCATCGAGCAAGTCCCCATAGAGTGAAGATAATAACACCCCATTAGTGCCGCTGACGAGTACAGCGTTGCTGCAGGCCATGCCTGCCAGGGCCCAAGCCTTTGGGGCAGCATTAGGCTTCAGTACTACGATCCTAGGAAAGGGTTTAAATCACAGGAGCACTGGCAACACGCAAAGTGCCCAAAACAGCACCCTGGCAGTAACACTGTGGCTACCAGCACAGAAGCACCATCACCACTGTGCAGTAATGACGAAAGGGTGAAGCAAATGCACCCCCAGAATGAGTCGCGCCCTGTGCCCTGGGTGTACCCCCATACTGCCCTGCACAGTGACTGAGGGAGGGGCTCTATACGTGTGCTCATGGCCAGCTCTTCCAGGAGCCCAAAGCAGCTGGCCAGGCTATGTACACATGTACATATGGGCTCTGTGTCCCTCTTCCCTGCTGGGGAGACTCAGTAGCTGGGTAGGGGGGAGGCTGCTGTGGCCCAGGGCAGGTGCTCTCCTGGGGATAAGCCACAACATGGCAGCCCAGGGTGGAGGCCTGCTGGAGGAGGCTGAACCTCATTCTCCAAGGCCACAGGCAAGGCTTGGGCTACTACTGTCACACCTTCTGCTTCGCCTCCATGCAGAGGAGAGCTGAGGGCGCGGTGGCAGTAGTGTGAGAGCCACAGGACCATTCTGCAGGGTCCAGATGCCATGGCAGTGCTCCGGGAGGTGGGCTTTGCTCCCCCCAGCACTGTGGCTCCTCCAACCTCCCTTCAGCACACTCCCTGAGGGGATAGGACTACTCCTTGGAGAGGGAGAGTAGGGGCAGCCCAGGGGATCCTCACTTCTCCCATACGCACCCTGCAGAGATTTATCTTTTTAATTAGTGGCTCAATGGGCATGGGTTTGGGTTGGAGCTAAAGGCACATAGATTAACAGGACTGTTTTAAAGTACTCCGCTATCACATTACTGATTGGGATGTGGTAATGCAGATGGTGTGAAGAAAGATTTGTTTAAGCAAACCAGGATATTCCCAGCCATCGATATGCTACTAAAGCTTGAATTTCCCTAAGCAAGCGGGGGCTCATTCTTATTCAGTCCAGCGCTGGAGCCACGTCTCTGTTCCTGCTGTGCTGTGGCAGTGGGAAACCTCCCCTCGGCTGCCACTCTGAGCGTGCTGGAAAAGTTATCTCCCCAGAAGGCATCAACTACCATTAAATACTCTCTTGTACTGCCAAAGCCATGCTCTGAGCAGTTGAAAATAATTTCCTGCCCCCACACCCCCCATCTCTTTCAGCTATAGGGAAAATTGTCTTTTATGACTTGACAAGTTCTAGCAGACTCGCTTCCCCTCTTTGGCTGGCAAGGGCCAAGTCAGGAAATCAGAAAATATAATGTAGATTAAGAAACCATAGTTGCTAGGGATGAAGTTGGTCCTGCCTTGCCTTCTTTAGTTTCTAGTGGATATGAGATTCTGCTCTTTCTTTTAATACTTGTCTGAGCAGTATGAAATCATGCCTCATGCATTGTATTTATATTAAGTTGAGGTAATCCAGCAAATGAGAAACCTGGTTTACCTATTGAAAGGTTTCTTTTATAAGGAGCTTGAATCTAGCAAAAAATGGTCCCAGATGAGTGTTTAGCTTGCCTAGGATCTTTTGTTAGGTGCATGAGAAGATAATGACTAGGATTTTCAGATGCCTGGTACATAGCGCTGAACTTTCTTCTGAATAATTTCTAGTGAGTGAGAACTAACATTTAAAATTAATGTATCTGAAGAAGCAGAGTCTCCAGCAATTCAATGTTTGCCAACTACTATGTTGCAGAATGCCCACTGTTTAGGACCCCAAATTTTTGTGAAGCATTTAACCTCCTGGATTTCTTGCCTAAATGAAATAATACATTTATGCTTTGTGAAACAGAGCTTTTTTGTTTAAAAATATGATCAGCTTGACATAGCAAAAACCATAAACATTCCAACAAGCCATTTTATTGTTTTCCCCTAACATTTCCATATTCTTACTGCTGCTTTATTGTAAAATATACTTTTCGACATAAAAGCTATATAGAACCTTGCATAGTTACTTATATTGGAGGGGTTGGCTGCACAGCTGCATGCAAAACCCTGCCAGCATTCCAGAGATGTATGCCTTGCAGGTCAGGGTCAGGTCACAGGAACAGTCTCCAAAAATCCAGGTCTCTACAAATACTGCAGCCAGGGTCTCTTGTATTTTGAGCACAAGATGCTACACTAGTATTTTAAACAAACACGAGAAATAGGGAAGCCTGAAGGTCTGTTTTATTTCCTATCGCAGACTGAAAAGTGAGGTATCTTGTGGCATAGCTCCCACTTTTCCTTGCACAAAGTTCATTTCAGACAAATTTTATTTCAAATGCAGATAGCCAGCAGTTGTTTGCTAATATATGCTAAGTAAATTCAATGCAACACAGTGTAGGCTGCATCATGAAAAAAAAAAAATTAGTAAAATATCTGCTGACCAGGGTATCCAAGCAGCACAGCTAAGAATTTCTACCATTTAAACCACTGTAAAGTACAGTCAAAAATTCGAGTAAGAGGCTAAGTTATAAATTTTATTTTCTAAGGGAGTAAAATCTATGCAATAAGGGTGTTTCTTCAGACCTTATAATAGCTTTTGAACACAGTAGGAAACATCAACCAAACAAAAGTTTAAGATCATTAAACCTCTGCAAAATTCACACACTTACATAATCAGTATTTGGGTAGAAGGCAGGAAAGATAGGCAGAACTGGCTGTGTCAGTCGATCAAACAGGATTCACATAGTTCAGGACTACCCACCACAAGCAAGCATTTCATAGAGAAAAAGGAGAGCAGACAAGAAGAGATTTATTGTACTGGAGGATAGAGAAAGAACCAAAGAATAGAAATCCGTAGGAAGCTAGGCCTCTTCATTTTCAATCCTTAGAGAAGAACACACTCTGTTAAATCAAGCAGAAAATTACATATTGTCTTTTTGGGTTTTGTGGACAACTCTCAGAGTACTTAAAGACAGGGTTGAAAAATTTGGACTTTGATCTTATCAGCAGACCTTTTTGCCTACAGAGAGCCCAAAATGCCATGAAACAATGGCAGATTTCTGAGCCTAGTCCTTTTCTGTAGGAGGCAAGGGATTAACTTAAGTACTTAGGGCTCTAATTTTATCTTTTCTACTGCAACAAGTATCTACTAGTCTCAAGGAAAAGTTGGCAAAGATCAAGTTTTTCCTGAGATTCTTCTCTCAGTTTTTACAGATCTCAACCAGTGACATGGATTATTTTTAAAAACAACCACCTGGGGAAGTTTACAAAATGGGATGGTTTTGAAGATAAGGCAATATTTTTGTACAAATTTGTTGCATTTTCTCAAATACATTTAGTAATTAGAATGCATTTTTTGTAGTATTTCCATAACCAAATTTGAGATTGAACAAATCCAACCTGGCAAGATAGGGAAGAATGTCTCTTTCCCAGTCGTTGGTTTACTTCAGTATAGCACATTAGCAAGGTGAACACTACTTGTACTAATGAACAAATGCAAATGCCCCCATCTGTTTAAGAGTTCATAGGATGAAGGCCCTTGCAACTAGAGCCAGTAAAGTGTACTGAAACTAAAATTATGGTAAACTCTGTATCCAATGTAAAGAAAGAGAAGCCAGAAAGGAAAGGAGCTCTGAGGAAGCCAAAGGAAAGCGGAAGTAGTATGTATCACTTATACAGTATTAGTGTCTCATGGTTTTACTTCCTCTTGCTGTGATCCTTTGCCATTATCACATGATGATCAGCAAAAGTCATCCATCCGGGGGTTCATAACTGCTGTCTTCAGATTTCTGCCTTTATTTATCTCCACACTACAGCTCAAACTGAAATTGCTATAGCGATTATAACAATTCAAGTTCATGCGTTAAGTAGAGATCAGGGGAAGCTACTGCAGTGAATAATCTGGACAGATGCAGTCTCTAGCATATACATTGCTAAGAGCTGCTGATGCACAAGGAATAGTATTCTCCAGTTCAAGGAGTTGTTGGTTGAGTTGTGACCCCTCTTCAGTAAAATCCTTGCCTTGTCTATACATGTGCAGCCTTAGCTAGCCTAATACCTTTTAGGGCTTTATATATTTTCATAATAGGGGAAAGAGAAACCAGGAAAGCGGGAGGAATTTATGAAAACTGATTCAAAGGTTTGAGATCTAGTCTTTCTGGGCTTCTTATGTAGAAAAAAAGGCTAGCTGTAGAACTATTTACCACACCTAAGTTTAATTTCCTGAACTGAATCATTTCTACAGAATACTACTTCTTTCCACTAAGTTACCATATAAAGGACATGAGCAGAGCAGCTTTATGAATACCCCTCAAAGTACCCCAGAATTGGGTGTTGTTATTGCTGCAATTACTTTGACCTGTATTCAAGTACTTTGTCATTTGTTTCTTCTGTTAACTCTGCAGTGTAGTAAAGCAGCTGGCTTGGGGGATGGCAGTAGTTAACCAGCCACAGTATCACAGGATGTCGGCTGGGCTACAAATCTACCTAAATACACTACTTGCTAACATCCAGGCAGTCCTGGCTGCCTGACTAGGCTGAACTAG